CGTCTCACCCGTGAGGCACAAACGTCTCACCCGTGAGGCACAAGCGTCTCACCTGTGAGGCACGGACGTCTCACCTGTGAGGCACAAACGTCTCACCTGTGAGGCACAAACGTCTCACCTGTGAGGCACAAACGTCTCCAGAGCAGAGTCCATGTCTGCTGTGTTGCCATAGCGACGGTATTGTGGATGCTGAATGATCCTGAGGCCCGTCTTCCCTCCAGTCTTGCTGCGGTCTGGCTTGGTACCTGATGGCAGGCACACGTATGTTAGCTGCACAGTGAGTGTGGTTGTAACCCTCTGCTCATGTTTGTCATGCACACACAGTAAACAAGTTCTTCTTTGGGCTTCACACTGAAAACATGCTGAGTGTTTGAAGCTCACATAAACGATCTGTGTAAACAGAGTTGGGACGTCTGTGGATTTACACACCGTTTTGCAGCAGGGTCCTAAACTCCTCCACAGCACTGTCCACTTTGACCTGGTAGAACTCCCACAGTTTGATCTGAGGGAACACGTCCTGCCACATCACACTGCGGACGGCCTGAAACACAACAAACACACGTTACACAAACGCATCTTTAAAGCGTGCACGATGCTGCTGAGAAACAGTGCCTTTAACCATCTGATGAACTGACCCAGTTCATCTGCACAGACATGAGGTTCACTCTGCAGGTCAGTTATTACCTGGTTTATTCTGAGGAATTCTGCAAACCCTCCTTTAGTGGCACTTCTGTAAGCCACTGAAGTAGTAACACACACACTAGTGAGCTAAATTTAGCGTGGCTAAAGCCAGGTTTACCCACTGATCTGGTCCACAGTGGCTCATTTGTGGGCACAGCCACAGTTAACATAGGAAGAGCATTAGTTTAGTTTAATGAGCCGACTCTGTCCTTGCCAACACTCACCAACCAACTCTGACTCCAAACACACAAACACCAAACCTGGAGCAAAGATTTATGCACCAAATTACAGTTTGCAAGGTAAATGCGGCTTGGTGCTCGGGTTTGGTTGTTTTCACTGTCAGGTGTATAAATAAATAACAAAATAAATATTTACTATAAAATAAAATCTAAATATAGAAACAGTGAGTATTCTGCACAGGCGTTACGCAGCAGTACAGACCGTCAGGTTTATGTCTCTGTAAAAACAGGTTATTTTTTTAATTGACATGTAAAAGTTTAACAAAAATTTAATTCAAATTGTGTCTAGAAATGTCATACAAGATATGTTCTGCTCTGTTTTACAGCAGGCCAGGAAAACGCCCCTTAGCTTTGATCGAAATCCCTCATAAGTTACTCAGCAGTACTTTAAGTTACTCAGTACTGCTGAGTAACTTAAAGTACTGCTGAGTAACTTAAAGTACTGCTGAGTAACTTAAAGTACTGCTGAGTAACTTAAAGTACGGCTGAGTAACTTACAGAAACATTTAAAAAAGCTAGCTACGTTTGGTGACGAGGCTGTGGATACGATTTCATGCTCTCAGGCCGGGCTGTCATTGGCTCACACCAGCCTGTGACATGTGTGAAAGTTCAAAGGTGACTGTGCAGGAACTCACATTGAGATGACTCTCCGTGGTGATGTCAGCAGGAAGTCCTTTAGCTTTGTAGCGTCCCTCGGCTACTCTGGTGGTTAAATGCCACAGAGCTCTGTCTAACACCCAGGCTGGGCGCAGGTGAGGAGAGTTCACCAGGTTATATCCACACTCTGGATGCTCCCTGATCCACACGCTGTTGGCAGCTGTGCAGGAACACAGACAGCAATCATTGAGCTGTTTAAATACTTTATTCAATGTTTCACTCTGGGGCTGTTTAAAGATCTAAGAATAGTCTGACGGTGAGTCACACATACTGTATAAATCAAAGTTCAGTCTGTATTTAACTTCACATCAGGCTCATTTTACTGCTCGACCTTTCCTGAGCGAGGATGAGGGATCCACAGGGCGGTCCCTGCCAGGAGGGACACTCTGATACAACGAGCAACGAGCACGTCAAAGGAAAAGTCTCGACTCTGAAGAAACACTTTCAGAGTAACTCTTAACCAGTTTTGCTATAAGATGTTTACCAACAACCTAAACTACACCCAGCTAACTTTTCAGTGGTCTTTAAATCTTGTGGATTTCAAGCTAACGCCTCAGACAGGGCTACAGCAAGAGTGCGTGAGCAAACCGTAACCCTGACAACGTGTGGCAGAAATGGCACCTTTAACGCTTGGAGTATTGAGTTAACTGCCATGTTGGACACTGTGGGGTGAAAGGTCAAAGAGAGCAGATTTCTCCTGTTTTGGCTTCCTGTTAAATCCAGAATTCAAAATCCTGCTGCTCACATACAAGGTCTGAAATAATCTTCTGTGCAAACCACAGACGACCAAAATGATCACAAGGACTTTGGTGCAGCAACCTCTTTGCAAACAGCTTCATCCAGCAGCAGCCAGCGACCGGCAGAAACCATTTGCCAACCAGTCAGATACATGTTCACCTCGTGGTTATCGTGTGTGCTCGAGGTCAGGGAAGAAACCTGTGACACTTCCACAGAGGCAGTACTGAGCCCACAGAAAGCAAATGTTTGCAGTCTCCCCCACAGCACAGTGCTCACCTGCTGTGCTTCAAAGGTAACGAAACCAAAATCTTCCCCTTTCCCCCCAAACGGCTTCTCTTCCCTTTATGATTGTGAGTCAACAATCGTTCCTGTTCTGTCGACTTCACAGGATGAGGTAACGATGTGTCTGAAAGTCGCCTTTGGGACAGTTTAATGACACGTTCAATCCTGTGGAAATGTGCAGACTCCGTGAAACGTGTTGTCATGAAACCTCTCGCACTAGAACATGTGGTGGAACAAAGACGACTGCATAGATGTTCAGGCCAAATAAAAGTGAGTGTGAGTTTAATAATGAACGACTGAGTGTGTGCAGCATAACAAACCATGAGCTGTAAACAAAGATCACAATAAAACAACGTGTTGCATGTACGCTGAGTGCACATGTCGACTTCATCCTTGCTCCATAATCGATGCATTATGAAAAGGATGTTCAGTCAGTGATCGGCTCCATGGACTGGCTCAGGAAGCCTTGTGATTCACTGCCCCTGCTGTCCTCTAAGGCAAAAAGACAGCTGCATTTTTGCTCTTTGTTAACTAGCACTCTTCATTAACATGTTCTGTTAAGTTGGCTGCTGTGGGTAACTTGAAGCTTTTAACTTGGTTAGAGGTTGGTACGAGCCGACCGTGACATTTCTGAAGGATGTTGCGTCGCTGAAGTCAATGTTTGGTACGTCTGATGCAAAGCACAGGGTCGAGCGCTTAGAGGGGAGATGTCTAAAGACAGCAGCGAAGCAGCCGCCTCACATCAGATGCAGGAGGTGACCTTTGACCTCCGAGGGGAAGGAAACGGTGTCGCACTAATGAACGGCCCTCATGGCTCCGACTATGCTCTAAGGCAACATCGATACCAACATTTTACATGTTGTAATAAAAACATGGAAAAGAAAACCTCCCACAGTCACCACCTCACCAGTGTGGTTATACACCACGTCTGTGATGCACAGCATGTCCCACTCTGTCTTTAGCTTCTCCACCAGCCCCCCCACATCCGTCCAGTCGTAGCTGCGACCCGCCGGGCTGAACTCTGGGTTGACGCTCAGCTGGTCAGCTAAGGAGTAGCAGGACCTGGACTCCCCCAGAGTCTGCACTGGAGTGAAGTGGACCATGTTGTATCCTGGAAGACAAACCCACATTAATCCTTCTACACGACATTTAGTTTGATCCTGACGTGTGAGGAGTCCCCTCACACACTGTGTCCATGTGATGTACCTGCACGCACAGGAGGATTGAGTCCAGAGTTTAGGCCGATGACAGGAACCGTGGTCGTCAATAACAACCAGACTGACTGAGTTTTTATAATTGAACACAAAAGAAAGAACCGGAGTCCGTGTGGGCGCGCCATGCTAACCTACCCGACTCCTTGGCCACTCTCAGTCTATCTGGCCAGTCATCCAGGTGTCCCAGACATTTGGACAGGTAGGTCTGGATGGTGATGCAGTCTAACGGCAAAATACGGTCGTCGGCCCCGACACGGAGAACTGGATCCACCACAATATAACCTCCTCCTATGCGCTCCGAGTCTCTGATGGGATGTAACACAAATACAGCAGGTTAATATACAAACGTGTCACAATAGACTGACACCATGCATTTACTTTCTCTAGACAACAGTGAGACAAGCGCAGGCTCAGTTTCAGATGATGAAGGAGTGCCTAACGGTGAGGATGAGGAGGTGATACCCAAAAGCAAACAAAGCATTTAAGCAAGTGTTGCTGGAGCACTTCCTACTCAGAGTCCATGACAGGAGGAGCAGAAAGGTGGATGGAAATGACTGCACGATGGGAACGGAGGGTGAGTGGTGAAAACGCCAAGAAGCCACATCGCTGGGAGAAGTTTCACTTTAAAAATACGATTCAGAATAATTCACACTGGGTCACTTTAGATATTTTAATACTCAAAGTGTTGAGCAGTTATCTTACAGTTTTACTCAGTGCAGCGTTTAATACTTGACCATAATATTTTATTAGGATATCAGAAGATCCACAGGTGCTGTAGGACTGCAGTGCTGTGAATCAAACCCATCTAAGAGTCCAGTTAATGTAAACGTGGAGGCTGCTTCACATACAAAGGTTCACTATGGCTTCCACGGGTTGCTGTGGGCTTTCCTTAGTATTAGGTATAGATACGTGATTCCCACTTTGATCCATCCATGGAGCCAAATAACACACATCACTATTACTTCTAGAGTCGACTCCAGTTGATTCACAGTGCTGCAGGATGAGTCCTGACAGGGACTGCAAACAGCACATGTCTCCTGTTTTGGCTTCTCTTCATTGAATCTAACTTAAAATCCTCCTTACATACAAGGTCTTAAATAATCAGGCCCCATCTTATCTTAATGACCTTGTAGTACCATATCACCCTATTAGAGCACTTCGCTCTCGCTCTGCAGGCCTACTTGTTGTTCCTAGAGTATTTAAAAGTAGAATGGGAGGCAGAGCCTTCAGTTTTCAGTCTTCTGTGGAACCAGCTTCCAATCCTCCCTTAGGCCTCTTGCAGCATAACTATCTCTTTGTGTAACAGAGCTTTGAGTTAGTGAACTGGACCTTTCAAGCACACCTGTTGTTGGTGCGTCTTGGAAGATTTGATATCGACTGCTGAGCGGTGCAGAGTTCCCCAATCAAAACGATCTGTTAGAGTGAATCTGCAGGATGTCTGTGCATCGCACCAGTACACTTTGTGCATGAACCCTGTCGGGTCAACTATACTGGTTTGGACTTGGCCCTCCACCCACTGCTCTAAATGTTGTCTGAATATTTCTGGATCCTTTCTGGATGGCGTTACACAGAAAAGCTGATGTCAGAAACCATTTGGTGACATCAAAGTGGCGACATCCATTTTTCATTTACATGCTCTAGTAAACATGAGGGCAATCCCAAAAGTAAGGTGTCCTATTGTTTTAGAAATACAAGCAACCGTTTACTTTCCATAGTATGTGCAGCATTTTAAAGCTTAAAGACTTATTTTCCTACATAATCGCCATTTCGGTCGATGCGTTTTTGTAGATGCTGTGACGGTTTTACAAAGCCCATGTCACAGCCGCTCGCCGCAGAATCGCCTTCCTGACAAATGTTTCTCCAACTTTGGGAACAGGTGGTAGTCACTGGGTGAAGTCTGGAGTGGTGGCTGATGTTCCAACCAAAGTTTTGCAGGAGACGGGTGACGTGTGGACACGTGGTGTAACTGCAAACGAACGGTTCATATGCAGCTGCAGTTAAAGACAATAAATGTAATATTCTTAACATTGTCTCTAAATAAACCTGAAAGTGCTCAAATTAGTTAAACTCAATGTTATTTACACAGCACCAAATCACAATTACCCCAAGGTGCTTCATACTGTCAGGTCGACCCTACAATAATACATACAGAGAAAACCCAACAATCATATGACCCCCTATGAGCAGCACTTTGGCGACAGTGGGAAGGAAAAACTCCCTTTTAACAGGAAGAAACCTCCAGCAGAACCAGGCTCAGGGAGGGGCGGCCATCTGCTGTGATTGGTTGAGGTTGCTGCTCTAGTCTGCATGCCAAAATGGGCAGGGATAGCTCAGTAGGTAGAGTGGTGGCCCCATGATTGGAAGGTCGGGGGTTCGATTCCCCTGAACAGCTACCCTGAGGTCCCTGAGCAAGGTACCGTCCCTACACACTGCTCCCCGGGCGCCCAATGGCTGCCCACTGCTTCACTGAGTGAATGGGTTAAATGCAGAGAGGAATTTCCCCACGGGGATCAATAAAGTACTCTTTCTTTCTTCTTCTTAAATATCCTTGGGCCAGATACAAACCCCAAGTGCTCTGGGAGATTGCTTTCAACTGGAATATGAATTTATAACCTAAAACATAGTTATAATTAGTTCCTGGTTTGACTGAGCCAGACCTATTCAGCATGTTATTCCAGGACTGGCCGGCATCTCTGACTCACACCTTTATCTGCTGTTTCACAAAGTATTCACTTCTTAAACAATTTATAGAGTTCTACAATAACTTTTAATAAAAACGGACAAATGAAGAACAGACTGTCTCACATAAAGACATCACAGGCTTTAGTGACAGCGTGGATGATTCCAACAAAATGATTTAATATTTTCCATTGCATTTCCCTGAATTCAGCTTTGACATTGAAACCCCGGATTCATAAAATGTGGGCGACTGTCAGGAGGGTCTTACACATATCCAAAGTAGTACTGATAGGACCCGGCCAACTTGAGGTCCAGAGAGCAGAACTTATCCGAGTCTTCTTCCTTTCCTGTTGGGTAGGTCCACGGCAACACACGGAAGTTGTTTCGGTCAAACAGCTGTCCTCCAAGTGGATAGTTGGTGTGCACCATGACCTTCTTTCCCTGAAGGCTCGGACCGAGACGGAACTGCAGCTCAAACCCTGCAGACAGAAAAGTACGACAAACTGAACAAACTGTGGTGGATTGTAAGGAAACTTTGTCTTCAACCTGTTAAAATGTCACAACTGTTTGTGTCTCAACAAGTCTGAAAAGATTCGTCTCTTGCAGTAATCATTACTGCAACCCACTCACAAGACAATCCCACATCCCTGACACACACACACACACACACACACACACACACACACAGTCATTAGCAGAAAACTGTAGGTCCTGTTGGTCCTCCAGAGTTAGAGTTTAATTGTCTGTCTATAAAGAGTCCCATATGACAGACAGCCAACAGAATCCTTATCAGATGCAGAGCCCTCTAAATGCCAAGTGGCACATCTCTTCAACCCTTTCAGCCAAGCCGACACGCACACGAACATTTCACGCATGCACAAACGTGCATACACGGTGCATCCCGACTATCACCCAGAAAGACCACACTGTTTTCTGCATTCAGCCGGCAGCTGTGCAGTGATGCTCAGAGAAAACTACATTTTAGCAAAGTTACACAATGATTAAAGTCACTCTGCTGACCACCAATTGACACATTACTGCTGATGTGAATTGAACCTAACCTGTGTTTCCCTCAGACAGCAGTTTCAGTGCTCTGACCCTGGAATACATCTGACTGATTCTCCAGTTTACACTTCAGAGATCAGAGTCACCAATAACCAGAGTTTGTTGCTGGTGTTTGTGTCAAATGAGGAAAATCTATTTTAACCGTGGACAGGTTGACTGTAGGGCTACGACCTCCTCAGTTACCTAGCTTGTTTCCCGACTGCTCGGGATGATTTGCTAGGGAACAGCTTATGGTGCCCTCGCCTAGCTAGCTGCAGGAGTTTTGAGGGTGAGAAGCCAGGTCTCCAATTCACTGAGCTTGGCCTCCAAAGCTGGAGACGCATCTTTAACACTAAATGAGGCTGAAGAATAACTCAACATTTGATACACCGAGTAAGAAAGTGACGAAGGGTCACATGACAAAGCCACACCCAACTGATTTCAGCTAAGAATTAAGCTAAAAGCTAAGCTACACTAACAAATCCAAAAAACAACATGAGAAGTAAGATGAATATAATTTTCAGAAAGTATTTCTGAGAAAGCTGCACTATGAAATAAGACGTAGGGATGAGTGGACACGTGAACATTCAGGAAAGCCTTCCTAACTTTTTTTATGAATGCTGTTACCAAAGCCAATAATGCAAACATTCAAACAGTCATATTCCACATTGTGTTTAGACACGACACGTTTCAGCCCCCTGACGTCAGTATAGATCACTACAGATGCAGATTAAAGATTCCTGCTACGGTCAAAGCTTGCTGCTTTATCTCTGCAGTAGACGTCTTTCTGCAAAACTTTTAAAATGAAACGTAACCAAGAAGTGTTGAAGCTGAACCCTGGTACCTTCCACATAAAACCATGGTTCCCTCACTTCCTTTCCTCAGAGTGAGGACTACAGCTCATCAGTATAACACTGATGTATATTCCTTATGCAAACAGAAAAAGGTTTATTTGGCTTAATATTAATACAAATATATATGTGCATTGAACATTTCCGACCTTTTCAACAGAAACAACAGCAAGACACACACATTCAAATTTTCAATGTATAAAATTAGTAGCATATAAAAACATTATCAACCAACTTAGCAGCTTAGTAGATGGAGCCACTGCAGCATAATATTACACATTAAATGCAGGATTTTATAAAGTAAGTGCTATTGAACAGAGCAGTCAGTAATACGGTTCTTACCTTGCTCGAGTCTGAACAGAGTTCTCTCTAAATTCTGCTTGTCGTTCAGCATGAGGACTCTAATCTGCTTCAGGTGTTGAGGCAACATACTGGAGAATCGGTTCAGAGTTATACTGATCCTCCTGTCAGGACAAAAACAGGCAGGTTACTACGTGACCTACCGTGACACACTAACTGAACACAGGGAGAGCCGTCTGTCCAAGCAGCACCAGCAGGAATATTGGAAGTGTATGTGCCATATCAGCATCGCAGTCCAACTGGCCTCAGGTAGCACCAAGTGTAATGGAAAAATCCCAGTTCAAAACTTTAATAACTACAAAGTCCTTAAACACAGTATTGACAGAGAGGTGCAGAGTCTTGTCTCTGTGCCGTCCTTAAAAACTGGCTGATGTTGAGGATTAAAAAAAATCAGTTTGTTTTCCTCCAGGAAAGATTATTTTATAAAAAGTGTCAATAAATAAACACTTTTTCCAGCTATTCATTGTGCGTCACAGATATACAGCACTCACTGGTGTCGTTAAATGGCATCTCGTTTTCCAGTATGCCACTATCAGACCGAAGGCTGAGTTTCTTCATCCCTACTGTGACCTCTAAAGGTTAAACACAATCAGTGGTTTCAGCGTGTACTTCCTCACTGTGGTCATATTCACATTAAATGTTGTTATTTACCAATAAATTTCAACAGGTATCAAACTCTTTTCCAACAACAGCAGATAATGTTTCAGTAACTGAAAAGCATGACTGCTAACATATTTTACATTTACTGTGAGTTTGGTTTCAGCACTTTCTAATCTTTGTTACACGCCGTGTTACAAAAGCAGGATCACAGAGATTCCCGGAGGGCAAACAGAGAGAACACCAAGATATCAGCAACAAGTCCTTCAAGTCCCGGGAAAGCCTGGGTTCCATGGATCCCACATGTTTAGGGCTGCGTATCGTCACTGATTTCTACAATCG